TTCGCCTCCGAAACGTAAATCTCGGTGACCAGTAGGTCACCAGTGTAGAACTGAATACCACTTTCAAAAAAACCCACAGAACACACCAAAACGTTGACTTGAAATTTGGATTTTCAGTCAAAAATAAATAAACTATCCAGTAGGGAGTCTGGGGACCCACAGTCCCACAGTTCCACAGTCCCACATCCGCGAAAAATGTCGGGCCAGGCCGAATCCCCAATTGAGACGTTCGTCCCCAACGACTCCTTACCCAATGACCAATGGAAATTGGACATACAAAAATCTATCACAAACCTCTCTGCCCAGGTCAGTACTCTACAGGCCAATCTCAATCAAATTTTGGGACCGGCTCTAACAACCCCGAACAATGATGGGCCAATCTCCAAGGAGCCTTTGACTGATGACCAATGGAAATCAACCATACACCAAACGCTCACTAACCTCTGTGCAAAAACAACCAACCTTGAATCAGAACTCCGGGACCTTAAATCCCAAACCCGTGCACCTATAGATGAAGACACACCCGACACTTTCCGAGTTGGCTCCACAAGCCCGCTTGCTCCGCCTGCAAAACGACCGCGGTCACAGGCGTCCAATAGCAGCAGTGAGCCTCCCAGCTACCGCTCAAAAGTGGACAAACCTGCAAAACCGAGCCCTAAAAAACGCCCGACCCCACCAGCTTCTCAGTCCCAATCGCAGCCGCCAGTACCCGAACACCTTTTGACGAAAATGGTGGGCCGCCCGATGCCGGACAAAACTCTTCATGAAATGGATGACATAACTCCGGTATGGCTCTTCTTCCGAGCAATTTTCCCTAACGGCAAGCCCCCATCCCAATCAGTATTTGAAAAATACTGGCATGACCAACCAGCCCTCAATCGCCACCACTTTCTCTGGTATCTTCCGTCTAAATCGGTATCTCAACCAAATCGCCGCGGAAGCTCCACCAGTTTCGTCCGCCTTTGTGTTCCTAGCAACTCTGTCGCCCAGGTGAAACGACATGCAGCACTTACGTGGAAATGGCAGCGCGATGAAAACATCGACCCCCGCTCCCAACAACATCCCGACGCTACGAAAGCAGCTTTAATTCACTATCTCCGCACCAAGCAGGAGGCCTGCTACACACATGAACGAGCGCCAAAAATTCTTGCCCGCAGCAGGGATGTACTACTGAGCCCACTTGTCACCTACACTAACGCAAACATCCTCCAATCTACAAGCAGCGCATGATGCAAACCTCTTCTCACTTAACCCGCGAATCCCGGTAAACGCTAAAGAATCAGCGCTATTATTTATTTCAAAAATGGCAAGTATGTATGATACAATGTATGAACATATGGTATGGCTCTCATAGTCGCTGTAGTGGTTCGGGAAAGATTGATGGGAAGAAGTGGTCAGTAAATTCCCGTTTGAAGCTTGGGCCAAGTGAGTCGACAATGGAAGATATGTGCTGAGTCAATTTGGGCCGGTGTTGACAAAACACTATTACTATCGAATGTTTCATATATTTGCTTGCTGAGAGTACCCACCTCTGTGGTACAGATCGGGTCTGCGCCGTGTAGTGCCGCGGAATGGGTTAGTGCAGGGTACGAAATACCGAGAAGGACCAGGTTATCCGTCATAATCCGGTCGAGAAGCGAGGATGGGGGTAAGCCAATGCCGCACCAGACCACGGATGAATTCGGTATGTGTTGGCTGGCCTGGATCGGAAGTATCATAGTCGGAACCAACAAGCGAGATGATTTGGTTTGAACCGATATTTGGAAGTAGTACTTCAACAGCGTGATTAGCCGGGGTATAGAGAACATCTGTTGATGAGTGAGGGACGGGTGAGGGTACGGTGGTTCTTCAACATGCTGGAGAAAAGATCCAAGGTGTTTGTGGAGGGTCCAGATACCGTGGAAGTCGTGTCACTCCTGTAATTGCTGAAGGAGGTCAGGGCCAATGAGCGGCAGTTTCGGGCCTACCAGGATGCGTCGAATCAGTTGTTGGATGCAGGTAAAGTGGCTGGTAGTGAACTTGTGGCTACCGGGGCAGACAGGGCAGAGACAGCCGTCGGTGCGGTAGTCAAGCAATGTGAACATGTACGTATTCGTTAAAATCATAGCACAAGAGCCGGCGTAGGGTAGGCCACTACTACTGAGAGTGGAGGCTGCAGTAGGCTTATGAATTATTTACGGCTTATGTACGTATTGAGGGGATATTTAATATTATTTCGAAACAAAATACCAGGGCCAAATATTTCCGAACCACACCTCACAGCCAGTCAGCCACAGACCACAAAGCCCACTCAAAGCCCACACTTATCCCATCAACCATGCCACAGCTTTTCCAAGCCAAGATGTGAAATAGCCAGCCGGCTATGTAGACGCCTGTGTTTACAAATTTGAAAATTAATGCGCACAACTACACAGCGCCAGGGCAGGTGCGCAGCCATCAAGCTCCGCACAAAGATGTATTGCTTTAGATTTCTGAACATTCTTTTTGTACAGAGACTAACTTCTCACAAGCTCACGTGATTCATATCTACTATTGCTGTCTCATCATGCCTGTATTTTTTTTTAAGCATCTCATAATGTATTTAATCCTTCAGTATTGAGCGAATGAGGCTGAAACTCGACCAATATCTCCGAATCGGGGCTATTCTCGGACTCTCCCCGTCAGGGTGTAAATACCTTGTTGATATATTTTCTTAACCTTTTATAGTCCAACCTTGTCTAATATAGAAAGCTATATCAACCTTTGAGAGATAATGACAACCATAACCATTTATACCTGTAATAAATGTAACGGACTTGGGGTCTATTTCCCATTTTCTACCTTAATATCCCGTCAAATTCACACCCCCACGCGCCACAAGCGATAACACGGGTGTCTTCGGAATTTATATTATTCAATTCGTTTCGTATATGTTTTTATCCTCACCTCTATTTCGATAGACAGTAAACATGGATGCCTTATTTGCACAGTCTGTACGTGGCCTCCTAAAAAGAGCACACAAGTATTGTTGACTTTGAAAGCATATTGTATAGTTCGGAATGTATAGCTATTTAATATATCCGGCACAGCCCGCCCCCACATAGATATTTCTGTTTTAAACTATGTTAAATAAACTAATATACAATATAAGTCAGTTATGATTTAGCAGTGGTAGCTTGTGTAAGAATGATCGGGAATGCCTCTTAGTACGAGCCCTATTATCCTCGATCACACAGGACGTACCTCTAGCTGTTCTTTATTGAATAATTTCCACTAGAATTATTAAGTGTTCATGACCACATTCCTAATTTGTAGATAGACATAAGAATGTAAATTACGTTAATACCCTAGCTAATACAAATAAAGATCCATCTGAAGAAAAGTTATTAAAAAAAAGAAGAGAAAGGCTTATTGGATTTGGAGAATGGCGGGAAGACCAAAATCTGTAAGTAGTAGTTCAGAGAATATAAAATTTAGTTTATAACATCCTACATCTATTGTCTCAAATAGGTCCAAGTAAATGTGAATTTAGAACGCTTTGGAAAATATTGGAAAAAGAACTTGTATTAAATTGGTTTAAATACAAATAAAAACCAATGTGTTATCTCATTTGATCTTGATATTTTAGACTGGCCGGAGGCCATATTTCTACAGTAACTGTATTCCGCGCTCGTGCATATGCCTTCTGATTATTGTACTCATATCGTGTTTTCGTAGTTGTATTGAGTTTTCGTGTACCTTTTCGTTTGGTTGATGGGATAGACTGTGTGTTGCTGCGAGTGTTGCTTGTATTTGCGCGCAGAGGTGTGTTGTCTGCTACTCATTGCATATATTTAGCTAGTTGTTGACCATTCTTATAAGCTCTGATTGATTGTGCAGGGAGATATGTTATATTCATTGCATCGAACGAATGATTCGCAATGAACCATCGAATTGTGTTTTTGCGATGGATTTGATCTCAAACATGGTTGCTGTAAGTCTTGCTATTTGTGAGTTGTGACACTGTCCCTCCAATTAAAAATATGACTGCCAGCGCTGCTGTTCATACTACTACTACTTACCGATACTCTGCGTCTCTTCTTGCGGAGTGCTTGTATTGATGGCAATAGAACATGTTTCATGTTATCTTCAGAATCAGATACATGGTTGTCAATTGACCCGTCATTTTACCCATTCTCACCGCCTTCTCCAGCCATTGCGACAGGTGATGTCAATTAGAGCCCATTTCGGTGGTGTCTCATAAACTATACTACCCCTCTCTAATCTCAGTCTAATACTGTCTACAAAGTAAGTGACTGTGACTGTGATCGCTAAGATGACGTGCAGTAAATGATGTAAACCTACTATATAACCTTACCACCACTATGTATGTACTAGCTACCACTGATAAACAAGTATATGAACTTAACAAGAAGTAAAAGGCCTAGGTAAGATAATCAGCGACCACTGTTAGGAGCCCTGCTAGTTCAATTGTTTGGTTAGTATGTGGTCAGTGTGTACAGTTGACAACTTAAATATGCTTGTGCACGCTACATACGCGTGCAAAATCAAATACAAACAAGTTGCTTGTCGTAAAGCACCTGTATTGTATTTATTTTTTTATTTATATTTGGTATTTCGTGTCCCAAAATGCCACTATGTGTAAGACTAGCTTAACTCAACTAATAAATTAGACTAGAACAGGTTTATTTATCTGATTTTTGAAATAAATAATATTATCCCTACGTCGGTGCACCATTCCGCGCCCGCGGTACATATGTACTAAATCAATTTTTTAGTATTCCCATTGCCGACAATTGATTTCGAGAATATTTTTAAAATTGAGATGATCAGAATGGCTAGTTTTAAATGAGTCAGCCATTTTCAGCAAAGTCAATGGTTACACAACCGGCTCAATTGCCAGAGATATTCACGAAGAATGTAATGCTTAAATCTTTAGAAGGTTTTTTAAAATTAGTCATACAGATTTGAAAATGTTTATTTACATCTCATTCCCGCTCTTGTGTGTTACAATGTGATAAAAAAGCTTATAGCTATACCACTATTTGCATATAAATTCAGCGTTGCACTTCATCACTACGAGTAGAGTTACACTTTCAATAAGTGACTACTACTTAAACCACGGAATACAAAGTATCTAGCAACATGCTTTGTAGAACATTGGCTGTATTCTTGGCGGTGGCCACGGCCTTCTCCTCGGGCACCTCTCTCAATCACCTCAGCAAGCGTCAAAGTACGGTGACTGGAGATACTGCACTACAGGGCAATCCGGTGTGTGCAATGGATGGGGAGACCTATGGTGAGGGTGAAACATGGACCACGACCTGCATGACATGTTTTTGTCAGGTTATCAAGGGTCACCCCGACCACGTGTGCTATTCTACCACACCATGTGTTGTGAAGACCTGTAAGGACGGTAAGCAGAAATATAAAGCACTTGGATCGTGTTGTGACGAGTGCATCTCCAATGAAGAATACTGCTCAATTACCAATCAAGGCTGCAACCCCAATACGGGTACACCAGTATGCTCGGCGTCCGGAATCACCTACCCCACCCAGTGCGCATTCACCAGGCAAAACTGTTTGGCTGGCCATGTAGATTCCATCGCACACGGAGGTGCTTGTGCGCAACCGACTACGAGTACTGCAGAAAACCAGCAAGAAAATACAACTACGACAACAACTGAAAGCTCCAGTGGTTCAAATGACAGTGTTTTGTTTATCAGTATTACTGTTCTATTAGTGTTGTGCCTCGTTGTGGTTCTGGCTGGAATAGCTTGGAAAAGGACCAAAAACGATGAAAAGCAGACTAGGCGTGAGCAGTTGTTCGGCGACAGGTATTCAAGCCACAGTGATAACTCGAGCTATGCGAGCTCTTTATCTGGAACAAATAGCACATATGGTAATTCGACAGTTAACATGGAGAGTATCATCGCTTCCTCGATGAAAGATGAAGTAGAGCCTGACCCTGTTATTGCAAACGATGAGCCACAAAAGACAGAAGAAGCAACAGTGACAGCTAGTATATAATGTTGTGGTGTTGCACATCAGGAGTTCAATATTACAAACCCAGACCGAGTGGTATCACTTCCTGCATCAAGCCAGGAAGCGAGGTAAAAAATTCAGTGTATCTGCATTTTCAAATATCCAATAAATTGTATGTAGTTTATTGCTAGGCTCGCAGCTAAAGTTGTGAAGTTTCAATAGTTACGCTAAGGCTATCTCGACGCGCGTCTGGCCCAGTTTTTTTTGGCTGTCGCGAGTTTGTTGGAGGGTTTGTAATTGGTTGCTTTGACCATGATTGCCTGCATAGGCCATGCAAAGTTATACTTAACACCATACAGTTTATTATTTGTGATGGATGCCACCTTTCCGTCTGTATCAAATGTGCATGTTGCATCATTTAACCAATGTTTTGTTATGTAGGCATCACCACAAGAAATAACCTCGGGTATCAAAAAAAGGTCATTAATTTGAGTTGAACCCGGTGCAGTATGATTCAGTTCCTGACACGGAGGGGGAGCGATGAAGACAGTTAATCTGTACTGATCAAATCACAGGTATTACGTGCGAGTACAATTTGAGCTACAACCATAAGCGAAACAGAGCTCTGCCTGTCATCTCCATCAGCCCTTGGTAATAGTTCAGTCTTGCATTGCAACCTTGACAAGCCACAACTGCAAGTGCGGATGGTTTACTACATCAGTAGGTTTGCATTCTGTCGATTCCAGTAAGGCATACAGAAGTAAGTCAGCAACGGGTACTGTGGTTCCAAGCAAACCCGATTTATCTTGTAGACCAGATGTCCAGCTTGTCCGATCAGGTGCTGGTTTTGTTAAGAATCGAGACAAAACGTTTGACATTAACCGGGTTTTACATTGATCTTCTCATCCTACAATCCTTCAAGCTACCGTCAAGAAACTTCAATCACCGCTGCAGGAGTCGTTTCAAAACGTCACAGGCTAGATATCTCAACCCGAGTTTTACTCCTAAGTGTTAGAAGAGCTGTCTCCTTTTTCTTGATGTCTAAAAAGGATGCATTGTTTTCACCTGGCTTCAACTACGGAAGGATCTCCTAGATATGTCATCCTGTGCCACAGTCAGTTATGGCATCTCTTGAATTCTGCACTACAACACAGCAATGCGGCACGCACCAGTGGGCCGCATGTAGCAGCTTCGAATCGCACAGATAAGTCGGCGAAACGTGAGACGGTGATAGCGAAGGCCGAATACGTCTCGGCAGGATACTGGGGCCATTGTGGGAAGGGTTATCTGGGAAGACTCTTCCATTGTTTGCAAACAGGTTGGATGCTTTTCACCCACATACCGCCACATACATCGGGACAGTCTGTTGATCACGGGTTTACAATATCCCTTGCCACACAGTTGGACAGCACAGCATAGCGGCACAGACCATTGTACCACGTGCATCAACTTCGTATTGCACAGGGATGTCATAGAGCCGTGAAACGGCGAGGACAAAGGCTCGCTCACTCCACTGGAAGCCACGGTGCTGCATACTTCGGAGGTATAGCCTGACCAGAAAAATGAGACCAGGTATATGGTCAATTGTATCAGAGCCATGGCAGGTTGGAGCAGTAGCATAAATTCAGTATGATATGGCTGTCCAAATAAATGGGACGATTGGTGTGGGTGTAGTACGGTATTCGCTATCTATTGCAGACGCAGCAGCGCGGAATAGCGTGAATGAAAATACCCCTTTGCAAGTATAGCTGCGGTTGTACTAACCGAGACCGTACGCAGCCAAAGCAAACGTTCCGTAGATACTAAACAAGTAGTGTGGAACAAACGACACAAATACATTGGCGATCGCGTACCTACAAACTACTGATGGTATATTGCAGATCTAATTATATAACTTCCTTTCATTTCATCACGCAACTAAACTTTCGCAGGATAGTTCAATTTGTGCTCTTCAGAGCGGACAACAGGCAGCGCGTTTCAATCAATGCCAATTAGGATGTCATTACCAATTAAACCATTTGTTAATCAAAACATGTCAATTAGAGTGCACATCTCAAACCACTGGACTACACTACTCAGAAGCTCAAATGTTGTAGAAAAAACAAAAACAAAATAAAAAAGGATACGAAAAGTGCGTTCACAGGGAATAGGTGCACACCTCTTTGTGTCCGATAATGACGCTTCCAAGAGTGTCACGAACAGAGTGTGATTGAGATCGGCGAAGAAACTGTCAAGGGCAGGGAAGAAGAAGTATACAGTCGATAAATGAATGATCTGCTGCCTAGTATTGTGAGGTGTCCTGCCCTCTGCCTTATTTCACAGGGCAGTCGACATGGTAGACGTTGCTCACCAGGCGAATATGTAGGTAACCACGATGGTATGGCCAATGTCGTTTACTGTGTAAGACGCATATTACTAGGCTTTACCCTCTGTCACGAGAACACTAAGCCCGTTTAGTAAGTTGGCAACCGATTCGAAAGTCGCAACTGATTTGAGACATGCGCGTGTCGTGCAATACCAGGATATTTATTGCGTTGAAACGCGTCCCATTAAATTCTATCATCGCCTGGCGAGCTCTACCCTGATATTCATTAGTTAGCAAATGCCTCATTCATTTGATTATATCTTACGCATGGCGAGCCAAACCGGATTACACATCAGTTCGCACAGCGTCCCACTCAATTAAATTGACGTTTATCGCTCCTAGATAGGAGACCCATAGTCGGATGTCCAAGACACTGTCCTGTGCGAAAGACACATACGCGAGGTACCACTGATCTGCCACGTGTACTTGTTGCATCTAAAGCCACAAGATGACCTGTGATGCGGTCTCCATGTGCCGTGTCAAACGGTTTGCAGGTATTGTGACAACGGAGCCCAACTACTGAGACGGTTACTATGTGTGAGGTGTACACGAACACGACGAGCGCATTGCGATAGTACCGTCTCTAAAGTGCAACGATTGTGTGCATTGCGAAAGTGCCATCTCTAAAGTACAGCAATTGTGTGCCGTTTAATACGGTGGGCTGTGTGTGAGACTTAAGCTTTGCATATGAGATACTACGCAGACTATGTGTCGAAAGGTAATGCACAACGCTAGCTTTGCACATGGGAATGCTACGTACAATACTGTTGTCAGGTATGTGAGAGAATGGTGGCATTCATCAGAGATCCGTTGTCATTGTGCCGTTGCAATTATACTGTCCTACGCGCAGAAGCCACACCACAAGACCTACCAATTTCAAACATTTCTACGGCTGGACGCAAATAAGCGTGTGATTGCACTCGCTTGCGAACTGTACGACTGACAGTCACTGTGACGATTAACATACACAGTCACACACACACACACAGACACACACACACATATATATATATATATAGCAGTTATGCCATATATACCAAGCGTCCCCATGCACTCTTCCGATTCCCGGCAACATACATGCACAGCAACGACACCTACCTGGTGTATAAACTCTTCTCCATGGATGTCTCTGGCTGCAGCCGATTCCGCCTGTCGACTGCGGTAATCGCTAGCTGTGAGTGTCAGAGGGAGTGGCTGATACATCAGATAAGCAATTGTACTGAATAAAAATAACTCTGATCCCTACAGCGTAATTCGGGGTGTAGCGAGATTGAGGCCCTAGATTGCAATGAGGTACAGATGCCTTTGTAAGGTTCGTACATATACCGCTGCGAACGTATCAAGCAGACTCGCCAAGCCCACTTATACAGCGAGAATAAGTCAGCAACAGTGACACATCAAATACGCCACCATGGGTCAAGCAGACGCACATGAGAGACTCCCAGGCATTAAAGGCAGACGCACTCAGTGGTTGTAGTCTTCCCCATGAACCAAGCCAAACATACGTTTTCAAATCGGATCACATCGGCAGACGACGGGTACAGCCCTACTGTGGCAGCCAATTCGGGCGAGACGTACTTTAGATCTCTATTCTCCAGGAAAACGTCGTAGCAGTTGTGTTTGTGCTCGAAGATCTTGTCCGTGGTGAATGCGATAAACCCGCCTCCTTCTTCGTCGTAGTCTGTTTGAATTTCCAAACGGAGGTGATTTGCCTGCTTTAGCTCACCTCAATGGGTCACATTCGGACATGCACACACACACATATATATACCCACACACACACACACACACATATATATATATTAAACACACAAACACACACACAAATTTTGTTGACTTGTACAATGATTGTTTATTCACAGCCGACAGAATACACAACCGATACGTCCAGACACGCGTGAAATCACTAGCTGACAAAGTGAGTGTCCATGCGCAAGCCACAGTGCACAGAGTCAAATGCGTCCACGCACACCCGCTCAAGTACATACACACAGGTCCATTGCGTACGCACACCCCGTCACAAGCTCGCACATACTCACCCCGACACCACACAGCCCCCTCGCAATTTGCACTCACGCCCATACTAGTCGGCCGAGATACACTGAACCTACCTGCCAGCTTATCAGCATCCGCTATTGACACATGGAACAAGGGTACCGTAGGCGGCGCTTGCGGCTGTATGTAAGCGTGTGCGCTAATAGTGGTTGTGTTGACGTCAATGCCTGTGCATGTGCGTGCGCCTGTACTGTATTGATGGTCCGGCCTTCCGCCGTGTGTACCGCTAGTCGAACTGGCTAAACCGGTATTGCGATCCAGCAGGGATGAACTTTCGACCGTGTCGGCTTTTGCGGAACTCTGGCTGGCCGCGGCGGTGTTCAGTGACGAGTTGCGAGACACACGGTAGCTACGGGTAAGGACGAGAGAAAACAGAACATCATAATGCGATACGCATGTCAGGTTTGGTCGAGTACTTGGGAACAATACTGAGCACAGGCAACATAGTAAGCCGGTATCATGCTCAACCCCAGATGTGAATAGAGACTACTCAGGTGGTCTGCATTACACCTCGTGTGGGAACGTTATGCTACAGATTACAGCCAGTTGATACACGTGCGAGTAGATGACGCCCAAAGTTGCGCTCTCCTTGTATTGGGTTTGTAACAATACCTTTCGGCTCTAAGAAATACCCTTCGACCTTAAGATGTGGCGGAGCCGGAGAAGCGGCGACAAAGCAGCTATTGCTGTAGATATATTTAAGACACTTCCGCATGTTTTTAATAACAGACGTTGTGGGTATAGACAGGATACTACACAATGTCACTTCCTAGTGTATGGTCATAGGTGCACATCACAGATACATACATGAAAGTAGACGCCCACACTTCCGCATTCACATCCGAGAGGCAGAGGGTGAATGGCACCGCTGGAAAATGTCACGAACACTGACCATGGCGGATGATCACATTCAATGTATACACAACAACCTCTCATGATCACCTTAGACCACCTGTACACACCAAACCTGTCAATACATCTCTTAACTATATGTCGGCAGACTCAAGTGTATCGTCTCAAAGTCAACTCAACATACACACATCGGCCTACCTCTGCCGAGCAGATCCCGGTTGTGACAGCATTTCCGGCTGTGTGCTGGAGACTGTCCGTGTGTGAAAGGTCTGGTTGACTAACACAGCCAGGGCTCGCACACGATTACATAGACCGGTGACGGGCGGGGGGCTCCATATCAGCACCCTCGCTCTGAGCAGCAACAGTTTCCACAGCACGAAGACGACGGGCCCATAGTACCGGATGCACTGAAGCGCATTAGACGTAGAGACCAGTTCGCAATGGATAACGCGAGGTGAGTGAGTGCATGCATGCCTGCACAGCCTTAGCGGGTGCTAGTGGATTGGCTGGCGTATGTACGTACACATAGCTGGCCCATTGCTCCCGAAAATTGGCTGTATCTGCATACCGTACGTTGCACAAGTCCCACATTCACACGGGTTATAAGTAAGACCCGTACTACGACGTACTGCAACCTGCCTGAGAGAAAATATCGCGCATCACACACCCCGACCTATATTAAATCATCACAAACTCATACGGCACATACCTTGGCGTACGCATGCTCTTGACTGTTGGGTGTCAGCCACAGTCGGTTGCGCCGTCGCGAGGGCTCTGGTGGGCAGCCAGGCGTGGCGGTGAGGGCTATGCCCTGGTCACTGGTTTCACTGCTGGTTTCTTCCACAAGGTCTGGCAAGGTGTCCTGGTCCGACTGCCCATGCGAAGAAGTGTAGATAGACATGTTTAAGTACTCGAGCACACCGTTCTGACAAGTAGATGAAGTACAACTCAGCCTACAGGGAGGAGTTCACATCGGTATCGGGCTAAAACTATATATATATATATATATATATATATATATATAATAACTACCTACCGTATATACACACAGTAGTGTCGTACCGTCCGTTCGGTCGTACAGGTAGTGTCTTAC